AGAAAAAAGGGTATGATGGGGCCAATGCCAAGCTTGACATGACACCAAGCACATGATCATAAAAGCAAATACTCACATGAACAACACACCACTTAATCACTTATGCTTTTGCTTCTTACCATCTTACTTGATTATGATTAAAGTAAAAGCCATTTTTGTTCTTTCCCCACTAACACACCCACACACACACACACATATATAAACACACTCCATATATATATATATATGTATATATACAGACCCAATATTTATTTTTACTTATTATTTTCTACTTTTTATAAAAAAAATACCATAAAGAAAAAAATTTACCCACTTCAAAATTGTAATTTGTTATTAAAAAAAAAAAAAAAGGAAAAAGCTTTTATAATCATAAATTTAATGGGCGGCCACATTGCTTGCTATTTTTCATTGGTGGTTATGCAAAGCACGTTGGGTAGTTGTGTTTCGAAATGGTCCACTCACCGTCTGATCGTTGACCGATTCTCTCGGTCGAGTTGACCGGGAGAGAATCAAGGCGGTGCAGACAGGTGTTTAAAGTGGGGATGACCGTAGAGGAACATAAGAAGCCCGACATGATCTCCAGACAGTTGGAAAACGGAATGCTGAGTTGGCAACTGCTCCTCCTCCATCATCCGGTGCATGATGGCTTCGCGCCCAACAATTCCTCCTTAACATAAAGTGATCAAAAGAAAGGGCATCTAAATTAGAAAACTTTGCTTTCCTCGGTAGGGTCATGCATAAAGACTAATTTACCCCTCTATATTTTTTTAATTTCACAATTCTGTCCCATTTTAATAATCTAAAGAATTCGAAGGGTATTAGTGTAATTTGACATCAGACCTTATTTGAATTTTAATTTTTACTTAATATAAAATTTGATTCAGATTTAAATATTATTAAATAAAAATAAAATATATATAATATAAATAAGATCAATTTTAATAAAAATAAATAAATTTCATAAGTGAATGTATTTTTATTTTTTCAATTAATACAGGAAAATAAAAAAATAAGTGTAAAATTCAATTTCAATATTAAATATATGAGATTATGAAATTAAAATAATAAATTTTAATATTTTAATAATTTCCTGAGGGGAAATTGGGCGATTTTACTAAAATGCCCGTGGTTGAAAGCAAAAAGGATAATAACGTCATTTGAATTAAGCATAGGGGTATATCAGTCTTCAAAAATAAACAACCGAAAGCGAGCCAGCTGTTTCCACCACTAACGTGAGTCGTCATGGGGTCCGTAGATAAGATATTCCGGATGGACGGCTGAGATCTATCAAAAGAGAATTTGACGTTCATTTAAGTTGAATTTCATTTCATTTGCACGCACGACTTTCCTTTTTTAAAACAAAGAGGGCGGGTATCTTAACGCACACAGAGATACGCTCGGTCCGTTAGAAAGCCTAGCAGAGAGCGAGAGAGAGATTCACACGAATCCAAAGGTAGGTTCCTTTTTCGTTTGTTTTTCCTCTTTGAATTCGATTTTCTCTTCGATCGATTCTAATTTCCTCGTCCGAGAAAGTATCTCGATCGTAAGAGAAAATTCAGAAATCTGTTCGTTCCTAATTCTGCTGTCCTTTTTTTTTAAATAATAACCGTTAAGAGGCTGATTAGTTGATTTTAGTCCAGTTTAAGATGCAAGTATATTCGTTTGATTACTAAATAGTTATTTATTCTGATTGTGATCTGATACATTTGCTACATTGTTAGATTCAGTTGTATTTCCTGAAAATGCATTTCCTCGGCAGATATTAAGGTTTTATCATTTTAGTCGTGATCCCAGTCTAGCTGAGAAATGTTGTGTTTAACCTAAATTTGCAAAATGCACGCGTTAACTTTGCATTGTTTCATGTTTTTGCTTCTGAAATATTTGAACGGTATCTTTCAGCAACGCATTTGCTACTGAATGGCTATGAATATGAATTCAAATTTGGACTTTATAGGGGATCAATGGAGGTTTAGATTGTAGCAATTTTATTTCGTGTTTTTTTCAGGCAACCGGTTTAAATTCTTATTGTCTTTGTGTATTTGATAATCTAAAACTGGTTTATATTATAAAAAAGAAAAGGATGTTCGACCCTTGCAATTCTCTAATTAAAGGGAATTGGTGATTGTGTAAAATGTGCATTTTGATCATGTCTTAGAGATTTCTTTGATCTCACTCATGAGTTAATGTTGTTGATTTAGATTTCTTTGTTATCTCTTCGGTCTTGAAGTTGTAAATCTTTAGATGATCACATTATTTTTTCATGAATTTTACAAACAAGTGATATCGCTTTGTATCAGGAAGTAGAAAATGGCAGAAGGTGACGATATTCAGCCTCTTGTCTGTGACAATGGCACTGGAATGGTCAAGGTATTGCCCTAAACTCTTGTTATGACAAACCCATTTGATAACGTCTTGACTGATTTGAGGTAACATTTTAACCGCATTCTTGATGAGGAGCCTGGAGCTGAATTTAATATCTGATGTCGAAATTTGCAGGCTGGTTTTGCCGGAGATGATGCCCCAAGAGCTGTTTTTCCCAGTATTGTGGGTCGTCCTCGCCATACTGGTGTGATGGTTGGTATGGGTCAAAAAGATGCTTATGTTGGTGATGAGGCTCAATCGAAGAGAGGTATTTTAACTCTGAAATACCCAATTGAGCACGGTATTGTTAGCAACTGGGATGACATGGAGAAAATCTGGCATCACACTTTCTATAATGAGCTCCGCGTGGCTCCAGAAGAGCATCCGGTTCTTCTCACTGAAGCACCTCTCAACCCCAAGGCCAATCGGGAGAAGATGACACAGATTATGTTTGAAACCTTTAACACTCCAGCAATGTATGTTGCTATTCAGGCTGTTCTTTCCCTCTATGCCAGCGGTCGTACCACTGGTAAGCAATTATTAACTAATACCTCTCTAGAAAAATGAAAATGTATGCCTAATAGGAACTACATTGAAAGACGGAAACTTTGTTAAGAACCTTTAAAAAATTAACTAGTAGAAAATAGAGCACTGTTATATGTACCTATAGATTTATGAGTTGGAAGAAATCATGGGAACCTGCTCGTCTGTATTTTGCTTGATGTTCACGATCATTTTAACGCCCAACAAGAACAGTATAACTGTGTGTATTACTCATATGGAAATCTTGGTTTGGACACTTTCCGCTGTAGTTTATGAAATTTAGCAGGAAGTAATAATAGTAGATATTTACTGATTGTTAAATGTATTTTGTTTAGGTATTGTCTTGGACTCTGGAGACGGTGTCAGCCACACTGTTCCCATCTACGAAGGCTATGCTCTTCCACATGCCATCCTGCGTCTGGATCTGGCAGGTCGTGATCTTACGGATGCCCTTATGAAAATCTTGACTGAACGCGGTTATTCTTTCACCACCACTGCTGAGCGGGAAATTGTCAGGGACATGAAGGAGAAATTATCTTACATTGCTCTTGACTATGAACAAGAACTAGAGATGGCAAAGACAAGCTCATCTGTGGAGAAGAGCTATGAGCTACCAGATGGGCAAGTCATCACCATTGGTGCAGAAAGATTCCGCTGTCCTGAAGTCCTCTTCCAACCATCGATGATTGGAATGGAAGCAGCTGGCATTCATGAAACCACATACAACTCCATCATGAAGTGTGATGTTGACATTAGGAAAGACCTGTACGGCAACATTGTCCTTAGTGGTGGCTCCACTATGTTCCCGGGCATAGCTGATAGGATGAGCAAGGAAATTACAGCATTGGCCCCAAGCAGCATGAAGATTAAAGTGGTAGCACCACCAGAGAGGAAGTACAGTGTC